AGATGTCATTGTCGGAGCATCTCCGACCGGTCACTATATCGCCATTTTTTTCATCTAATTTAGGTGTTTTTAGCCTCCCACCCAAAATTTCTATATTTTTATTGCACCTAAAATTATGGAGATTTGGTTTTAGCCTCCCACCGTGGTTAACCCCATATCACCGTATACCCGATTCTAATTTTTCCACCAAATTTTTTTGTGAAGGAACCCACCCATCCACCATTTTCCTATTTTTTTTTCCCACCAAATCCTATTTTTTTGCCAAATATAGAGGTGAAAATAGGATTTGGTTAATTAACACCATTTTATTAATTAGCATATAGATAATGATTTTAACTAATTGCACCTGATTACCGAATTATTAGCATATCTATTGTAAATACATTAGTCTTAATTATTAAATTAGTTTTTAAAATATTAAATTCATTTTTTTTATTATTAATAAAAATATTTTTAATTAATATATATGCTTATTTTTAATTAATTAAAATACTAATAATATAAATATGCTTATTTTTAATTAATTTGTATATTTTTTTTTATCAATGTCGATTAGTTCATTTATTTACTTAACTAATACGCTATTGCCATTAATAAAATATAATAAACAATGATAGAATCATTTACGAAACACACTTTAATTGACGAAATACAAGCAAGACATTTCAATTGAAATACATAGCTCATATAAAAAAACAACATAACATGATAAAAAAAAAAAAAAACTAAAAAAGAAAATAATAAACAATAACACAAATTATATAAATTTAAATTCTCATAAATTTGTTAGTAAATTTATTATTTTTAACGTGTCCAAAATATCCCTAATATGAGTCATATTATAAGAAATACGTCATATTATATGATGTATTTCAAATCTCAAATTCCACCGTTCCCAAAAATCAATTTCATCATTTCCACCGCTCCCAAATATTAATTTCATCAATTCCATCGCTCCCAAACATCGAATTCATGAACACCAAACCCTAACAAAAAATTGAATCGCGTCTGCCATAGGTAGGGTCCTCGAACCATTTGCAATTTACAAAATTCTGTTTGCTATTTACATTGTGGAACCAACTTTTTTTTTTTTTTTTGCTATTGTTGAATGACCATCTGAACCAAAAGTTTAAGCTTTTAGTGAAATATATCATTTAATATTAATATCTCCAATACGCCCCCACAATTGCAGACGAATTACATTTGAAGCCTTGCACTTGAAATCTTTTTAAATTGGTGGTTGTGGGATTCGAACTCAGACCTTTCATTTGGCTTGGCTCTGATACCATGTTGAATGACCATCTCAACCAAAAGCTTAAGCTTTTGGTGAAATATATCATTTAATATTAATATCTCCAATAGCTATTTGGAGATCGTTTGTTGTGTGAAGAGACATCTTATGTTGTTTCTTCATTTGTTGTTTGCTATTCCTACAATGGCTCAAACACGATTTAGTCTCGGTAAGTAATACTCCTACTTGATTATTCGATTTTTTCAATACTTATTCAAAACCCCCTCTTTTTTTTTTTTCGTGGAAATCAAAAGAGAATGATGACATCGAATCCCCAAAATAAGGTATAAATTGCAGCGTTTGTTAATGTTATTAGTTTGTTTATGCTTATTTGAAAAAAATGTAACTGTTTTTAAGTATGGACTTTTAATTTCTTGAGATTAAACATTTGATTGTTGCTAGTGTGGATTTGCTATACCGAATTTGCAGTTTGCTGTTTCGAGTTTGTTATTATGAGTTTGCATTTGCTATATTGAGTTTGCTTTTTTCTATTTAGGTAATTTATGAAATTTTGGTTTGCATGTAGTTTGAAGTCAATGTTTTTTAGTATGATTTGAGCTTTGCTATTCTGAGTTTGCACTTAAATTTTTAGTATCATTTGAGTTTGTATGTTGTTGTGGTTAACTTGGTATACAAATTACTAGGGAATACATCTAGTTATTTTGCTATTGGATGTACATGTCTTATTGCAGTTTGCACTTTGCGATTTTCTATTGTAATTGAAGTTGTTATTAGTTCTTAATTGAAGTTGTTATTACCTGTTTGCAGTTCATGTCTAATTTATAAGATGAACTGTTGTATCTGCAATTAGTTCTTGCTATTAATATTTGTTGTTTGCTGAAAAGAATCACGGTGAATAAGTGGGCTGCTCTTGAGGTTGAAGAAGAGGGCTTAATTGAAAATATAAAAGACTCAATTGAAAATCTTAAACACTTCATTTTGGTGCTTATGAAATTTATGGGGGTATTTAGGTATTTTCGTGTTAAAAAATGAACTCCCACTAGCATTCATGGCGAGTGAAGCGCACAGTCAGTTCTCAGGGGTCTTATTGCCTTTGACTAATTTTGATAGGGGTATATTTTCTAAATTTTTTTAACATAAGGGTTTTTGCAGCAATTCGAGATTACACAAGGGTGTTTTTTTTTTTTTTTTAACATTAAACCCTTTTTATATCTAAAAGAAAAGTTCCATTTTGTCTTTTTCTTCCCATTCATTCTTCATCCTCACACACTCTCTTCAACATTTCCTCTCTCTTCTTCACACTTTGGTTGGTTCGCCAGAACACCGCCGGCACTGTCATTCCAATTCCATAGCAACGCCGCGGCTCTGTTGCGGCCGAAACGGGCATTTTAATTAAAATGCTAAAAAAATAAAATTTATTTAAAATATATAACTAATACCAATATTACAGTACAATAATATGCAAAGGGGACAACTATTTTGAATACTAGTTTTTGCTTAGTTGAATACCAAAAAAATAAAAAATAAATAATTAATTGTAAATTACTTTAATACCCTTAATGAAAATTAAAACCAAAAAATATTACAAATACTATTTTTCTTTCTTAAAAACCAAATAATCAAAAACCTAAAAAAAACATTTCCCTCCTCACTCACAAACCCCTCACCTCCTCCACCTCCTTCTTCTCCCTCCCCAAAAACCCTCCTAAAAAACCCCAAAACAAAAGAAATCAAAACCTACACAACTTTCGATTA